TACAATCCTAATGGACTTTCGATTTCACTGATTGATAGTGTTATAGTATGTTGTTGAATGAGTTCAAATAATGATCAAATTGATGATAGATTGGAATTGGATTGGTGAGAGTGATGAAAAAGAACTCGTTTCAGAGGGTGACGATTCACAATTGGTGAATCAAGTGAATAAACTGAAAAAAGATTTGAAAGAATCCGTGCAATTGGTGATGTCAATTGATGAGACAATCGCCAGTGCGAATCGTAAAGCTGACGATACGAATGAGGTGATCGAACGATGGACACAAATCAAGGATCGAGCTCGTAACGACATCGAGAACGCAATCCAATATCTTGAGACCGAGGGACGTACACAATGGGAGTTGGCCAAAGAGGCGTCTGCAAAATACGGCGAGCAAAGTCAGCAACTGTCCGAAATCGCGCAAGAGGCACGAAAGTTGGCCGATAAACACGAGAATAGGAGTCGAGAGATTGAAATGCTGGCCGAGAAGACGCAGAATGCGTCCAAACAAGCGTTGACCGAGGCCAAGGATGCAATCTTTGGAGGTGATGCGACCAGTAAAGAGATAGCAAATATGCAGGTTCGATTGAAGGACACTGGTGACTTGCTGAATCAAACCAATCAGCTTGCTGCGGAACAACTCACTGAAGCTGACAAGGCTTATAAAGCAGCAGCTGAAAGCCTAACCACTGTTGAGGGACTTAAACTGCCCAATGTCGATCCACAGCAAGTAAGTAGCGTCATTCATTGTTATTGGTGAATCCGATGAAGGAGTATATTATTAACTTTTTCGTGTATTGCCGCACGTGGTTCCATAATCATCTTTCTAAATCGGCTACTGAATTGTTCCTCTAAATTACAAAGGTGATGAAAGATTTTCGAGAAAATTAAGATTACCATATTTGTAATAACATTTGCGTTTGTTCTAATCAGTTATGAAGTTTTCAGTTCCATTAAATGATCGTAATTTATCTTTAGACATACTTTATATATTTTATCTGACTATGAAATACTCTAAATGATTTCAAATTTTACACTTATGCGTTAACCCTCAATATGTAAAGAAGTTCCCTCTATGTGAGTGAATAAAATAGATGACAAAAAGAACAAATCATCTAAAATTTATAAAAATTCAGTTGAAACTAGAAGCGAAACGAGTCTCTGAAGATGCGAAAATGGCTGCAGAGAATGCAAAAGAGCAAGCGTCTGCGAATAAGGAACTCCTTGAGGAAGCCGAAAGGAACGTTGCGAATGCTGAATATGAACTTCAACGTGCCAAAGATCAACAAAAGGTTTCCACGTTTACAATTCAGTCACTCTCATTTTTATACCTAACAACAAACATCTTGCAATGATTGCCTGAGTGAAGGCCAATGAAGTCAGTTTCAGTGTCTCGTTCAAGCACTTCCATAATTACGTAATCAGGATATATCTGAAAAGGGCCAATCTTATATCGAGAGGAAATTATAAACTAATTGATAGGTACAAGCCGGATTAATTGATGGTGATGAGTAAAATAAATAATTCTTACAGATCTCCGATGAAATGCTAGCAGACGTGGATGCATCACGTGAATCTGCTCGTGAAGCAGTTCAGTTGGCCGAAAACACTCTGAAGGAAGCCAATCAAACGTTGAACACATTGAACGGTATTTTTTCCGGACTCTGTTAATGAAAACAATTCATAAACCTGAATGCACTGTTCGCTCTATTGAAGATTTTCCGGGGATCTCATCAAAAATCCTCCCTTTTTTTGTTACTGGTTGATAATTTCCACAAAATTGTTTCGATCATAGCATCGATACTTAGGCGATTTTCTGATCTACCCAACAGTCAGTTAGAGAAGTGAATGAATTAACCGTGAAATGGTATATTGAAATGAATCGATGGGACC